AAAAAAAGAAAATAAAAAGAAAGAAAAAAGGAAAAGGGAAAAGAAAAAAATCTAATATGAAAGTATCAGAAAATAGAAGTAAATTTCCAGAGATTTTTAAGTATCATTAACCTGTATATTTCAATGTTAGAATAATGGTTATTAAAAAAAAACAGTTTTAGTGTTCAAGGAATGAATTCTAAAATTGTTTTGTTCCTAAAATTAATTATATTTGTTGTATGGTGTGAGTTGTTAAACTACTCTTATGAAAAGCTCTTACAAAAAACTTCCAGAAAAAAACAGACATTTCTTTTACATTGAAATATAGCTCATTTCATCAAACAATATTAATTAAACATGTTTTATCTCCCTATTTATCTCTACATTTTATTTTTCAGTATGACTTTAATATATTTGAAATATCTACTATATATGTTGTTTTCCATGAGAGATGATTGATCAATAAATAAGACACTTCATGGATATAAACTCTCTAAAACACACAGAATTTATGTCTAATCATTTTAAGGTTAAATATACATGACTGTATTGCATAAATATGTTTTAGAAAAAAATACTTAAAATTGTATTCAATACACTTCAAATAAAAAACTACATTAATTACAATGAGAAGGTCATTCTCACTTCATTAATATCTTCAAAATTTACTTCTGAAGCACTGAAGAAACCTCAGAAATTCATATAAATAATAAGACCATTAATTCATCTGCTCAGTTTATGTAAATCTATGATAAATGTACATCGTCAATTAAGCGCAAAGAAAGCAGAGTGTCATGAGACAGAAAATGAATATATAACCAAATTGTTTTCCTTTATAAAGAAAATAGTAGGCTTTAAAGTTTCTGAGAAAAGATAAAAAGAAAAAATAGGTAGAAATGAAACATTAAAGGAACCATTTTCACTTGGCATTTAAGAATCCTATGTATGGTAGAAAACTCTGGTTCTGCCAAACCATCATGGTGTGTAAATACCTATGTAACAATCCTGTAAGATGCAGGATGTGCACATGTACCCCAGAGTCCAAAGTACAATTTAAAAAGAAAAGAAAAGAAAAGAAAAGAAAAGAAAAGAAAACTCTGTTTCTAAATTGTGATCTGATCATCGCTAAAGGTCAAGATCCATGCAGAGGAAAGCAGTAGGAAAATACTACTTTAGTTATTTTTTATTACTTTAATTTTTACAACAGTGTACACTGGATTATTTAGAGTCATGACAGGTCGCATGGCATAGTTCTAAAGATTAGTGAGCCACATCTGTAATGGCTATTGAAATGTATGAAAAGTACTTAAAATACACCTTGTATTTTAAGTACTTCATTTTAATTTCTAATATAGCATGAAGTAGCACACACACTTAAACCAAAGCTTGTTGACATTTGTAAAAATATTTATGTTGATTTTCCTGTCACCATGAAGACAGTCTAATTAAATGTAGTGTCAAGATGGTGCACTATGAAATCTTAAAATAAAGGAAAACAAGCTAATTGCTGAACAAAAATAGTTGTTGTAAAATGATAACTGCATTGTATAACCATTTAGATATGATCTTTGCAAAATGTGTTAATACCTATATATATATATATATATATATATATACATGCTGAGTGATTAGAAGTGATCTCGAATCAGAGGAGCAAATCATGACACTGAGAAAGTACATGCCAAAACTGAATATAGAATGCTATATGATGTCTTTAATTATATATTAGAACCATTTATATCATTACAGTACAGACAGTCATCATGTTCTTTAATATGCCCTATAAGGTACACAGTTAGGATGAGAGTTCAGCAGAATGTAGAATTGACATCTCACCTGTGAATGTGTTATGAATTCATCAGGTTGGATATTATGATATAATAATAAATTAAAATATTCATTGTTTCCCATAACCATGTGGTATAATAGTGTGCCTACATTTTTGTATCTTCTGGCTTAGCCGTCTGAATACTTCTTGATACACTTATAGAGGAAGATGTATAAAACTCACCAGGAAAAGCATGTAGGATAAGCTTTCAACACTAATATATTTAAAACAAAATTAGTTGCAACAGACTTACTAAATATTAACTTTTTCTGTATAAAAAATGGTGCAATATTCTATTAGTACTAACAATTTAAGTATTCAAACAATAAATTCAGAAATTTATGGTTTTTAAAGTTAGTCTGGTTTGGTGTATCATGTTATTCTCTAATGAATTTTTATAAAACACCAATTTTACCAACACAATTTGCTTCCTTAAAAATAAAACCAAGGCTCTTACATTCAAGTACATCTTATTCAAATTGCTAATATCAACAGAATTTACATATCTTTGATGCCTCATAGTAATAAAGAAAAGTAATGAGTCATGGAGGCTTAATCCAATTATAGTAATTCTCCTGATTCCAGTAGTCCCTGAAGCATCCACACTCTAACATTCTGCAGTAAAAATATTCTAAATGCTTCTGAAGTGAGTTCACTAAATTTTCCTTCTTAGAAACTCCAAAAAACTCTCACTGGCTTCTCTCTTGTACCCAGCTTGCTGCCGCACAATCCCTCTTCCGTAGCAAAAAATAATCTCTAGATTGTGCTCTTGATTCTTCCCATTGAACACCTGTTAAAATTATTTTTCTCACTCTTTTACTTGGTTTAGTGATAATATCTTCCATCTATAATTTCTATTGCATTGTCCCTTTCTCCTTCTGCTCTGGCTAAAAAACATACTCAAAAATAAGAGCAATACAATGTTTTCTCTTGACCCTGTTATGTCTTGACCTTCTATCAATTGCTCTTCTTCCACATTTTTCCCATGAAGGCTTCTACTTTTGCCACTCAGGGCAAGGTCCAAAGACCAGCAGCATCAGCGTTGTGTGAGAACTTACTGAAAATGCAGAATCCCAAGTCTGCTGAATCACAGTGTGAATTGTTAACAAGGTTTCCAGCTGATTTTCTTAAGTTTGAAAACTTCTGGTCTACACTGATTGTATATGACAAATTATATACATGTGTGGCTGTAGATATGTGCTTATTTTCACCTACTGTAAATAGAACACATTTTTCCATGGTAAGGTGCTTCCGTCCCTAATGGTGTCCTACCAGTGAGAAAGGCAGGAAGAGACAGAGTATTTATGCTGTGATTCTCTGGTAAATTTTGGTACTAGAAGGCCACTTTATGTTCTTCCTAAATTTCTAACCACACCCTATCTTTTTCTGAAGAATAATTTCAATTACCACCCTTCATTGCATAAACCTGCTTCCTGTTTCTTCACGTACCTTGTCTTTCTCTGACTTTATTTCCTCTTTTACTACTTTCTTCTTTCTAATTTTCTGATTTTCCTCAGGTCTTGGAATATCTTGAATTCGAACTAATAATTCAGCTCCTTTTCAGCACTCTCAATACAGTCTGTTGCCAACACCTGATAGGACGTATCACTTATCACCGTTTCGCTTCTCTCTTTTCCATGCTGGGCATTTAGGAGGTACTTTCCTTTGGCTATTAGTGTGTATCCTTCCTCATGAGTTTAGAGAAATATGCAGTCAAATGACTTGTTAAATAAAAAATGATTCTTACCTTCTAATTTTCCATTTATTGTCTTGATTTCTTTTTGATATGTAGCCTTGGGTAAACACACATCATTCTGTTGAACACTCTCAGGAAGACTCTGTTAAAAGTAATATTAATAAGTAAGTTTAATTTAAAAATCCTAATAAGAGTATCAAAATTTCCTAATTAAAAGGCAATTTTTAAGGCAAAATTTCCTACTTTATAGGCAATTTGATTTAAGGGCAGACATGTATTGAAAACCAAAACATTTCGGTGCAAAACTTCATACATGCTCTCTAGATCAAGCTTTTCTTTACCTTCATGTGGCTATTAACTTGGTTCCTGAGCAAGAAAACTCAGTCACATTCCCAAAAAAATTCACATGTGCGTGTTTCAAAAAGTAACTCACTTGAAAATATCTAACTTACGTTGCAGTTCTCATCAAAAAGAAATATGGCACTTCGAACAAAATACAAAACACTTGCTACTTACCATAACACATACTGCATTAAACATTTAAAATTTTCACGACTATAGAATTTAGTGTTAAAAATGATGCATGTCATGAAGACAGCTTTCAGAGTCTGCCATATAATGTCTGCACATAAAATTCAAAATACTGCTTTATTTAGGTAAACAGGGGCTAAAAATAATCAGAACATTTCTGATAAAATTTACGATGGGCGAAATAGTGCTTAAATAAAGTGAAAACGCGGTAAGAAAAAAAATTGTGTCATCTCAAAATGAAAGCAAACAAGTCTTTGTGTCTAATGACAAATTAGATAAAATCTATTTGTCTATTGACTTCCAACCTTTGCTGTGACCACCATGCAGCAGCTTCTTGTTTCTAAGAGGTCAGATACTTTCTACGTCATTCCACAGCTGTGACCTTAAAATACGTCGCTATTGCTTGACGCTTATGCTGCTGCAGCTTGACTGCCACAAAGGGACTCAAAAGGTTATATTTGTGAACATAATTTCTATTTTTAAAAATACTACTCAACCAAACTGTTGTTATTATAGTCCCATGGGTTTCCTATTCCTCATGCTTTTCTTTCTCCTGAAATGTTCCCTCAGATCTATACTGAATAGTAAAATAATTCAATACTTGCATTTTCCAGGCATTAACTTTTCAGGTCCCAAGCTTTACAAAACTACAGTTTAAACCGTCTCTCTATGAATCCAATTAGAACTTTTATACATATAGATATACCACTTCATACATTTGCCCATAGCTGGACTCACTGCAATTCTTTAGTTTTTAGGCAAACTTACTGCAGGTTCCATGTGAATTCCTAGTGAGTTCGAAGCCTTATTTTTTACACTGTACCTCACTGGCTTCTTAATTTAATCCTACACATGAGCAGAATTTCACTATGAAGAAGTAATCTACTTAGCACATAAATTCTTTATACAGCATATTCTAAAAAATCAGAAAAAATAATTTTGGGGTGACATATGCAAAGGTGAGAAAATAAATCTAAGCCTCTGGTTTTATGTTGTCACATCATGCAAAACTAACATTAAAAAAATTCAGTAATACACAGTACCTCAGAATCCCAAGAATTTTTTTCATCTTTCCCTTCTTTAGATTCTGATGGGACCATCTGATCTATAAAAGGTTAATCACAGATGCATTCATGAGAACTTTTCTCTACTATACATTTCAAAAACATATACAAACCTATTTTCATTCAAGAATAATTTTTTTCTTCTGTAGCCTGTATATTCTTTTTGTAGATTGCAATCACAACTTCTATAGTTAATCCATTAAAATTAAAATCTTAAAAATCTAAAAATTAACTTTGTCATTAATTAGAATGCAGAAAACTAGAAATTTGATTCACTTGTATAAATCATTTCTTCACAAAGCAGTCACATCCTTTTCACCCATGAAACACAGTATGTCCTATGTTTGCTATTCATTCAGAAAACTTTTATTACCTATCATCTCTCATTTCTTTATAAATTTTTATTTTTTTAGTATTACTTAGTTTGATCGTCTCAGCAATCTCTATCACACAGTTCTTCAAAAAAGATTATCAATCAATAAGATTTTTTAAGGATATTAACTTTTTGATGTTAGTAAAATATATGTCCAACTCCTTAAGTTTTAATATACCATGGCAGTACATTGGGTGTGGTTTGGATGTGTGTATCTTTTAGGAAGATAAGCTTAAAAAATTTTTATTTCATGTAAAGTAAGAACTACTTTAATAACAATGACATAGCTCTCCCCAAATACAACAGTATGTTCAGAGTCAGCTTGTGATACCTTGGAGAAACATCAGAAATATATCAGAAATAAATAATTTCCTTAAGTAACCAGTGTTTCCACATGTTATAGGATTAAATCAAGGCCCACACAAGAATTGAAGTGCTTCAGTCCAATGAGACAGAAAATGAATTACTAACATATTAATATCCAGTTTTCCTTATCAACAAAAAATACAAATTACAACTATTTAAATCAGCTTAAAAGAAAGCAAACATGCATAACTAAAACTTAAAAGACGATTTAATCATTAAGGGTACCTTTATCATTTGACATCTAAGAAGTGTATATCTGGTTTAAAAAAGTAAATTAAACTTGTGGTTTCAGCATCCCTAAAGTTTACATTTCATCCAGAGGGTCCAGGAAACTCAAATCATACATTGGTAATTCACCATTTTCACTCATTACTAGAAGTGTATCCTGGATCATTTCAGATACCTAACGTGTTGTTACATCATAGTTCTAACAATCTGTGGGTCATAGTTCTAATTGTTAGTGAAATGTATGATTGCACATGGAAATACTTTACATATTTTTGTTTTCATTTCTAATAAATAAAAAAAACAATAGATATGATACTTTTGAGATATTAACTTTTTGATATGAGCAAAGTATATGTCTGGCCCCTTTAAATTTCAATATGCCATGATGGTATATTCAGTGTGTATCTGTTTTATTTATATAAACTTAAAAAATTGTACTGCATATAAATTAAGAACTGCTTTAATTACAATGAAATAGTCTTTTCTTAATGCAACAATATCTTCAAAATCAACTTGTGATGCCTTGGAGAAACATTAGAAATTTATAGGGAAAATGAATGCCTTAAGTAACCTGAATTTCCCACATTTCATAGAATAAAATCAAGGTCTACACAAGGCCCAAGGAGGACCGAGAGCCAGCCATGAGACAGAAAAGGAATATATAACAGAAATAATGTTCAGTTTTCTTTGTAAACAAAATTTTCAAATATTAACTATTTAACATAGTTTAAAGAGAAAAGCAAACATGCTCAACTGAAACTTTAAATATCATGTTAATATTAAGGGTACATTTATAATTTGACATCCATGAACTTTATATCTGGTTTTCAAATGTGGTTTTAAGTTGTGACATGAGCATCCCTAAAGTTCAGGTTTCACAAAGAGAATCCAAAAACTCAAATGATCTGTTTGCTATTGGCCACTTTCACTCTCATTTTTAGAAGTGTATACTGTACTGTTCCAGGGAAATCATGTGTTATAATAGCATAGGATGGCTCATAGGTCTCAGTTTTCATTGTTATTAAAGCAGATGACTGTGCATAGTGATACTTGAAATATTTTGGTTTTAATTTCAAATACATCAAAAAGCAATAGATAAAACCAACTGAAATGAAGACTGAAATCTGCAGTTGTTTTTATTTTCATATATTTGTTTTTTTGCATGAACACAGTTAATGAGTTGTGGTGTAGTCATATAATGGAATTCTATAAAGAACCTAATATAAACATAACCAGAGCTAATTCTGTCCATTATGAATGGTTCTAACAATTTAATGCTCATCTAAGAATGGTACAGAAAATAGCACACAATGTACAATTATTCACATGTTAGAAGCTGAAAACAAATTCTACATATTATCTATGACCATGCACATATGTTGTAAAATGTTGAAACATGCATAGAAATAATAACTAAAAAATAATTTAGACAACTGTTTAACTCTAGGCATTGAAAAGACACTAAGGCCAAATGCTTCAGAATCACAGTTTTACAAAAATAATCACAAAGAAATGATTGCTTCTCCCATATTTAAAAAAAAAATTAAGGGTACCACACCGACACACCCACACCCACACAGGAACAAAGGTGCAGAACACACAGACACGCGTGCAACACACACGCACGTACAGACACACAGACACACACACACACACACACACACACACACACATACGGCTGCATAGAGTAAGCTAATCAGAATAGCTGATTTCCACAGGATTCTTCAAATGACTACATTCACATGAGGTAACCAATGTTAAAACACAATGGCTTGTCAACAAGTGAAGCTTTCCCTGAAGTAGAGGGTGGAATTTGAATCAATATTTGGAGAACTCATAAAATGTTAGTTTAAAAATTCACCTTCTTGAATCTTTAAGACTTACAGAAATTCCCAATACAAAACATTACAGAATCAGGACATAAAAGTAGAAACACCTGAAATTAAAGCCACATTTTTAAAAAACTAATTAAAATTTGCATTCCTGTAAATATCAGTTTTTCCAATGTAGATACCAATATGGACATTGTTTAGTCAAATATTTCCATCAAATTTGAAAAATAAATCTTGGGAGATGAGACTATTAACATGCCTAGTGTTGAAATATTCATTTTAATATAGTTGAACAGCAGAATTTACCTGCTCTCAATGTTTGTTTGTTCTTCCATTCTAAGTCTTTATTTGGAGCGGAGTTTTGCATTTCAATGGAGGGCTAAATTGGTTTGGAAGAAGAATGATTAACAATGAATGCATAATTCAGAAAACACATTGTTAATAAATAATTCAAGATAAAATTATAAAACTCAATACCTCAAAGTCAGAAGGCTTCTCAGGAGGCTCTATATAGAAAAAGAGATTTATCGTCAATCATAGGTAAATATGACAAAGCCAGCCACAAATGAATGCAGTGATAGTAACTGAGTCTTCTTGATCAACTTTGAGAGTTGGGGGTTTTCTTTTAGTTTGTTTTTTTAGGACACTCGCATGACAGACATACACTGAAGGAGCTAGGAATCTAGCTTTCATAAAACATGCACTTAAGATTTCAAAAGTGAGAATGTGTCGTGCATGCAAAATGTGTTGTTATTAATATGTATAAGCTGGGTGGTAAAAAGAGAAATGATCCCTCAACAGAGGAGCAAATCATGACCCTGAAAAAAATAAATGTCAAAGCCAAATATAGAATCCTACAACATATACTTAATGAAATACATTAGAATAATCTGTATCATTACATTCATCGTGTTCTTTAATTTGTCCTACAATTGAGACGGTACAACATTATGATGAGAGTTCAGCTGAATGCACAACTGACATCTCAACACTGAAAGTGGTATAAATTGATCAGCTTGAATATATACTTAGAGAATAATACTAAATATGTTCATTGTTTTCCATACCCATGTGTTGTCATCGTATGCCTACATTTCTGAAACCTCTGGTTTATCCTAAGAAATTTTCTTGATTTGCTCATGCAAACATATATGCAAAACGCATATAAAATAATGTGTAATGAGCTTTCAATATTGACATGTTTATTTGAAAATGTATGGCAACAGGCTTATTACATATAAATAACATTTCATATTTTTAAATCAGGACTATTTATTTTAAAAACAATGTTAGAATTGAAGTAAAAATTCAGTAATAATTTGGTTTCTAAATATCTCTCTGGTTTGTTTGTCATGGTAAAGGTCTAATAGATTTTTACAGAACAAAAATTTTACCAAAACAATTTGCTTCATTAGAAATAAAGCCAATGCTCTTACTTTCAAATATCTCCCATCTGCATAGCTAATATCAACAAAATACATATATTTTATGCCTCATAGTAACAGAGGAAAACAATGAGTCATGGCAGTTTACACCAAATCTGTAATCCTCCTGCTTCTAGTTGTCTCTGGAATACCCACAATGTAATCTTACGGAGTATAAATATTGCAAAGGCATCTGAAGTGAATTCACTCAAATTTCCTTTTCTGAAACTCCAAAGTTGCCTAGCTATGTCCTTCCTTGCCCCATTTCTTGCCTCACAATCTCTCTTTCGCGGCCAAAATAATGTCTAAATCTGTGGTCTTGATTCTTCCCTTTCAACATCTTTTAAGATCAATTTTCCCACCACTTTCTTTCTCTTTGATGAGGGATAGTATCTGACATCTGTAATTACTATTTCTTTACCTCCTTTTTCACCCCTCTGGACAGAAACATACTCAGAAATAAAAGCAATATAATGCTTTCCCTTGACCCTGTTATGTGTTGACCTTCTATCCAACTGCCCTTCTTCCAGATTTGTCCAAAGGAAAGGTTATTCCCTTGCTACTTAAGAGTAAGGTACCAGGACCACCAGCATCACTATCACTTGAAAACTTATTAAAAATGTCAGAATCTCAAGTGTGTTGTATCACTTTGTGCACTGTTAACAAGGTCTTCAGCTGATTTTCTGAAGATTGAAAACTTCTGGTCTATACTGAGCGTGTATGACAAATTATATACACACACGACTGTGCAAATATGCTTATATTCACCTATGGCAGATGAATTACAACTCTCCATGGTCATGTGCTTCCATCCCTAATGCCTTCCCACCAGTGAGAAGGACAGGACTGACAACATGTTTGCTAAATTCTCTGGCAAATTTTGGTAACAGAAGGTCACTATAATTTTTCCAACTTTCTAACNTTCATTGTTTTCCATACCCATGTGTTGTCATCGTATGCCTACATTTCTGAAACCTCTGGTTTATCCTAAGAAATTTTCTTGATTTGCTCATGCAAACATATATGCAAAACGCATATAAAATAATGTGTAATGAGCTTTCAATATTGACATGTTTATTTGAAAATGCATGGCAACAGGCTTATTACATATAAATAACATTTCATATTTTTAAATCAGGACTATTTATTTTAAAAACAATGTTAGAATTGAAGTAAAAATTCAGTAATAATTTGGTTTCTAAATATCTCTCTGGTTTGTTTGTCATGGTAAAGGTCTAATAGATTTTTACAGAACAAAAATTTTACCAAAACAATTTGCTTCATTAGAAATAAAGCCAATGCTCTTACTTTCAAATATCTCCCATCTGCATAGCTAATATCAACAAAATACATATATTTTATGCCTCATAGTAACAGAGGAAAACAATGAGTCATGGCAGTTTACACCAAATCTGTAATCCTCCTGCTTCTAGTTGTCTCTGGAATACCCACAATGTAATCTTACGGAGTATAAATATTGCAAAGGCATCTGAAGTGAATTCACTCAAATTTCCTTTTCTGAAACTCCAAAGTTGCCTAGCTATGTCCTTCCTTGCCCCATTTCTTGCCTCACAATCTCTCTTTCGCGGCCAAAATAATGTCTAAATCTGTGGTCTTGATTCTTCCCTTTCAACATCTTTTAAGATCAATTTTCCCACCACTTTCTTTCTCTTTGATGAGGGATAGTATCTGACATCTGTAATTACTATTTCTTTACCTCCTTTTTCACCCCTCTGGACAGAAACATACTCAGAAATAAAAGCAATATAATGCTTTCCCTTGACCCTGTTATGTGTTGACCTTCTATCCAACTGCCCTTCTTCCAGATTTGTCCAAAGGAAAGGTTATTCCCTTGCTACTTAAGAGTAAGGTACCAGGACCACCAGCATCACTATCACTTGAAAACTTATTAAAAATGTCAGAATCTCAAGTGTGTTGTATCACTTTGTGCACTGTTAACAAGGTCTTCAGCTGATTTTCTGAAGATTGAAAACTTCTGGTCTATACTGAGCATGTATGACAAATTATATACACACACGACTGTGCAAATATGCTTATATTCACCTATGGCAGATGAATTACAACTCTCCATGGTCATGTGCTTCCATCCCTAATGCCTTCCCACCAGTGAGAAGGACAGGACTGACAACATGTTTGCTAAATTCTCTGGCAAATTTTGGTAACAGAAGGTCACTATAATTTTTCCAACTTTCTAACCATGATCCAGCTTTTTCTATAGAATTATTTTATTTTACCAGCCTCCATTGTATAACCCTCATGCACTCCCTGTACTCTCTGTCTTCCTCAGTCTTCATTTCCTCTTTTACTTCTTTCCTCAGGTCTTTGAGTATCTTGAATTTAAATTAATAATTCAGCTCTTTTTTTTTTGGCACCCTGAATATCATCTGTTGTCAACGCCTGAGAAGACATATAACTTTCATTTCTTTTGCTCTTCCATGCCATCCATTTAGAGAATAATTTTCTTTGGCTATAAGAGTTTATGAGTCCTCATGCATTTGACAAACATTTAGTTAAATGATGTTTGAATTAAAAAATGGTTCTTACCTTCTATTTTTCCACGTATTATCTTGATTTCTTTTTCATATGTAGCCCCAGGTAAACAAACATAATTCTGTGCAGCCCTCTCGGACTTAACCTATTAAAGGTAATATCAATATATAATCTCTTTTTAAATTTTTATTTTCTTTAACAAAGTCTCACAGGGTTGCCCAGTGGTATGATCTCCTCCTACTGCAACCTCTGTCTCCTAGGTTCCAGTGTTTCTCCTATGTCAGCCTTCTGAGTAGCTGAGACTACAGGTTTGAACCACCACCTCTGGCTAATTTTTTGTATTTTTAGTACAGACAGGTTTCACCATGTTGGCCAGGCTGGTCTCAGACTCCTGATCTCAAGTGATCCTCCTGCCTCGCCTCCCAAAGCTCTGAGATTACAGGCTCACGTGAGCCACCATGGCCTGCCTCAATAAATAATTTCAATTTAAAAAATTATAATGACTACCATCAATATTTTCTATTTAAAATCTTTTGCAAAACACATTTTTTTTACATTAAAGATAATTAGATTTAAGGCTGTTCACATATTGAAAACCAAAACATTTCAAGAGAAAACCTCACATATGTTCTGTGGATCATGCTTATCTTTTATCTTCATGTGGCTATTGACTAGGCTACTGAGCGTGGAAAATAAATCCTATTCACAACAAAATTCACTAGTGGGTATATTTCAAAAAGGAATTAAGTACAAAACATCTGCCTTACTGTGTAGTCAGCACCAAATATAATAGGGCATTTCAAACAGAATACAATGTGATTAAACATTTGATATATGAATAATTACAGAATTTCTGTTAAAAACTATGCATGGAATGAAGAGAATTCTCAGAGTATGTCATGTGCAGTAGAAACAGAACTCTGTAGAAGCTGTTTCATTTAGGAAAACAAGGGCTTAAAATAATAAGAATAGTTTTGATAAGCATTTTGCTGATAAAGAAATGCTTGAATAAAATGAAAGATTTATAAGGAATATGTATATTTATGCCATTTTTATAGGAAAGAAAACAATTATTAGATAAAACATGCAATGAATTGTTAAGACGTTAACTTCAGAAAAGTAGAGCAAGCATTCATAAAAAACAAAGAATAAAAACACATATTCATCTGGGCACAGTGGCTCACGCCTATAATCCCAGGACTTTGGGAGGCTGAGGCAGTCACATCACGAGGTCAGGAGATCAACACCATCCTGGCCAACATGGTGAAACTCTGTCTCTACTGAAAAAACATTAGCTGGGCATGGTGGCACGTGCCTATAGTTCCAGCTACTCAGGAGACTGAAGCAGGATAATACCTTGAAACCAGGAGGCAGAGGTTGCAGTGAGCTGAGCACTCCAGCCTGGTGACAGAGTTAGGCTCCATCTCAAAAATAAAATAAAATAAAATAAAAATAAAAACAAACAACAAACAAACATCTATTCATGAAACATCTAATATGTGCCAGACACGTATTTGCAGATTGTTCTTCACCTTAGAATAATGAGGGTGATGAAGACATTGGTGGTTATGCCACTTTCTGCTTCCTAGTCATTCTAGGTTGTTAAGAATAAAATGAACAAAGATGATCTGCTGTTCAATCTGCTCAGAATGTCTTCATCCTAGACTTTCACACGGCATACTCCTCATCTTTGAGAAGGGAGATTAAATGGCAGTCTCAGAAAAATCTACCCTGACCATAGAATTCCCCTGCCACTCCCATACCCAGGCTAAGTAGAAAGTTCTTCAATTCTCTATCCTAGCATTCTTTGTTTTGATTTGAAGAAAAAGTTAAAGTGACTTAGAAGTGTTTTGTATTTGTTACTCTCTGACTACTACCGTAGCATAATCCCTCATCTTGGATATTCAGAGACTCACTGCCTAGCACACAGTGGGTACTCAAAAAGAAATAGCTCCAGGCCAAAACGTTTAAAATCTCCTCAGGAAAGTCTAACTTTCCAAACTGCTTTGTTTCTATGGAAAATCTGTAGTAGTAGTCTGCTGCAAGTTACCATCCCTTTACCACAAATTAGAAATCCACATGCCTGTTCTTGCTCCACATTCTTCTCCTAACAATACTGCTTTCATTTAAATGCCACTTTGATCGTTTTGCCTTATATTTGTATACAGACTTTTCCAGTTTACAAGATGTTTTCACATTTGTTACAATGTTATTTCATCACGCATACCTAAGAGGTAGATATGAGCACTATTTTTATAAACAAGGTTACTGGTATTTGATCAGGTTAAATAATTTTCTTCTCAGTTCCCGTAGCTAGTAAGTGACAGAACCAAAATACAGACTTATCTTTGACATCCACTCATTGCTGTTACCACTACACTGCTGCTGCTTTAGATAACTGGTGAGGCCTTTCCTATCTCTTCCACCTTCACAGTTGTGACCTTAGAATACATCATAATTATTTGATGTGTATGTGGTTGCAAACATGGCTGCCACAGAGGGACTCAAAGAGTTCTATTTGTGAAAAGAATGTTTACTTATTAAAATACTACTCAACCAAATTGGTGTTATATACAGTTTTACAGGTGTCCTATTTCTCATGTTTATCCAACTCCTGAAATGTTCCTTCAGATCTATACTGGAAAATGAAAATATACCAATACATCCAAGTCCCAGGCATGATCTCTTCAAGTTCCAAGTTGTATAAGGCTAAGACTACAGTTAAACTATTTCTCTCTGAATCCATTTAGAGCTTTCTTACATCTAGCTGTACACAGACCCATTTATTTGCTCATAGGAGAACACAGATAAATTATTTAGTTTTCAGACCAGCTTAACTTCAGAACTCAATTTCACTAGTTCTTAGAAGTCCTAGTGACTTCTAAGCCATATTTTCTTTTGCGTTATTCTACGCTGGTTTCTTATGTTAATCCTGAAAAGGAGCATAATTGCTCTATGCAGCTGTTACCTGCTTCACACATGATTGTAAAGTATGTTCTGATAAATGTCAGAAAATTATCTCTTATGAACACATGCAGACGTGAGCAAATAATGTCAAATCATCTTTTTATTTCCTAACATAACTCAACATACTGCCATAATTGGGCCATATTTGGAAAGAGAGAGTGCAGAGTCAGGACACAAAGACTCTAGGAGTCTATGTGCAATAACATGTGCAAAACAATAAGGCATGAAATAACATGGCAAATTAGGAGTGCCAAAGTGATGTGGTAAAACTGGAATACAGCCAGAGGAAATGAGATGAAGAGGTAAAATGGGGCCAGACCATATAAGATACTTGTGATGCTAGAACGTGAACTTACCCCTTCGTGTTGTGGGTATTCACTCAATGTGCAGATGAGTTACACCATTACAAATATATTTTAGAAAGTGCACCCTTCCAGCAATGTAAAGATAGGTGAACATGGGGATACGGGGCAAAGCTAAAAGAAGTACTTCAAAATTATAGGTAAAGAGTTAATTATGGTAATAAGAGATGGAAAAGTTTAAGAAGGTAGAAACTACAAAATTTGGTGTGTGACTGGACAGGTGATGTGGAGGAGGGTTGACGTGTAGGTTGTGGGGGAGACTCGAAGTGCAGGTTGAAGCGCTCGAGCGTTTCACCGCTATTTCCTAGGTGTTATTTGCTAGGATGGGGAAACCAGTTGACAGTGTAGATTACAAAGAATCAGAAAAGAGTCGGGAAAATAATAAAAATGATGTTTTCCGTTTGAGACCCATAAAATTTGAGGCATCCAAGGGGCTTGGAAGAAAGATCTGGATAAATACATTTGGAGTATGGGTAGANGACCTACATCAGGAAAATTACATAGTGTTACGAAGATAAATGTTTATAAGATACACTAAATGGGAAGAACTAAATAACACAAACCTATGCAGAATGCTGACATTTTCAAAATGAAATCAAAGGAGAGAGAAAACATGGGATTAAGTTTTTCCATTATATATGTCCAAATTTGTTTTGAGAATATAATTGTATTTATATTGGTAAATATTTATTTCTGAAATATTGTTGCAATATGCATAGTTGAATTGAATGCAAACATTTAATTCTAAAACACCAATTGAAGGTTCTGCAAAAGGACCTTTATAAAATTTAACCTTGAAAGTTTTAATTGTACAAGAGAAATGCTTAACTAATAATAGAATTATGAGGCATTTTTAAGTACTACTATAAGGTGAGATAGAAATGTGAAACCGTGTTTTAAAATTCACATACTTTTCTTATGTTCCTGGAAACAGTACAATGCTAGCTCAAATTGCCTACTTACATCATATAGGATGGTAGTTCAAAATTGGAAAAAAAGATTTCATATAAAACAAATTAAGCTATAATTATTCAAGTTGAAGATTTAATAGTTTTTACCTATATCTATGATTGTCAAGCATTCTCCCGTATTCACAGGAGAAATGAAGAAACTAAAATACTCAAGTCACAATGTGCCCACTGCAAGACATATTTTTAAGAGTAAAAAAAACCTTCTAGTGATAATTTTGTATATTATGTTAACAATCTTTCCATACATATAATTCTATGATAATAAGTACTTTACTTTTAAAAATTCACAAATATCGATCACATTCATTTGATGTGTGCATATACCATTACATATAGATATTAAGAGCAAAAAATGTCAGAATATACCTCGAGATGAATAATTTCTGTAATTAATTCTTTGAGAGTGTTGTAGCTTAAAAATGATTTTTGTTTTTCAAGAGATCCAGATAAAAGCCTTGTTCATATGACTAGAATATATAATTTTAGTAAAAAGATTAAATAAAATGCTTGCTTATTATTTTAATCACTCTCTATTAAAAAAATATTCAAAACTGCTACCCAGGTTATTCCAAAGAGTATGATAAATGAGGTAAACAACCTAAGAATATATCAAACATTAAATTAGAAATCTTAAAAAAGAAAGCAAAGAGTCAAAAATTAACTCACAATTAAGGTGACAAGTCTTAAAACAGATCTCACTTTGCATTCTTCATTAATATAAGTAAAAATAGATTAAATATAAAACATAAATTTACTAAAAGAAGTGAGAATTAAATTTTCTTTTCTTTTCAATAATTTTTTTAGTTGATACAATATAAACATACACGTTTTGGGGTTACACATTATAACTCAATGCATTTACATATCAAATCATAATAATTGAGATATTAATCACCTTAAGTATCAATTTGTCCTTTATGCCACAAATATTCAGATTATTCTCTTCTAGCTATTTTAAATACTGCAAGAAATTGCTCATACCTGTAGTTGTCTTTATATTTTCTTTCAGCTTTTTATCAAAATCAGTTATAAATCACTCAAAAACAACTGAGCAGTATTTTATTACCTGGCTATCATTTGTTTTTATTTTAAATAATTTATATCATATTTCATTCTAGAGAGTTCAGGCACTCATTTAAACCACCCTTTTTCTGTGTTTTATAATAATCTGTCTCACCTTGACTCTTCTATGCAGTCTCTATGTTTATCTTACCCTTCTTCAATGAATTATTTCCTTTCATCCCCTTCATCTAATTGATTATTATGAAAAACCAGTCGTATCCATTGGAACATTTTTTAAGCAAAATAACCTGGGACAAAAATGTACCCTTACATTGTTTATAATATTGTAGACATAATTAACATCAAAAAGTTTAAATTACATATTATATTTTGTAATATCTCTTCATGATTTACAGTTTTATTAATTACTTCTTGTGTGGAAAAATGTGAGAGTTTAGTATTTATAGTACCTTAATTAAATGGGTTTACATTGAAATAGTATAGGTTGTTTCTATTCTGTATGTCAAAACCTAAATTTAAATAATTGTATAAATTTGGCTTCTTCCATGAAACAGAAAAAAGAGAAAAAGTCATGAGGTGGGAAGGGCCATGACTGATAATTGAAAACCATACATAACAACTAAGTAGAAACCTGTAACTAAATATGTTGAGAATTGAGACAGAGATGCCCTAAAAACCAGACACTGAAGAAATGTATTCTGTGAAAAAAAAGTATCAGGTAAATCATTTTTAAAAAGGCGGAGGAGGAGGGAGAAACAAATAACAGACATGACCAGTCAATCAAGAACGAGCTCCAGTCATGAAACAAGAGAAAAAAAAAAAACTACTCTACAATATGTGATGAAATACATACAATAGAAACTTTTGTTTATAATATATTCCTATAATGCTGATCAGTATTTACACTACAATTAGTTATTTGGATAATACCTGTGTAATAATGATTTTAATTTTCTTATTATATAATAAGACATTCAATTGGTTAAACATACATAGTCTTCAGAGGCTACCTATAAGCTAGGACATTCTTACTACAGAGAAAAAAATTTTTTTTAAAAGGTTAATTCATCATCTTTTCACCTGAAGAAACTATTGGTAATCAGAATCCCAGAGGGTACTGTATTGGTTGAAAAGGAATGCTTAATAGAACATGAGGTGCGACTAAAATATATTAAATTTTTAAAATCTAAACTCCACTTGGAGGATACTAGAAAATACAGTGTAACCTGCTTTCCTATTTACTATGTATCTCAAATTTACTGACTTCTTACTTAAGACATATTTTTTCAATATATCTCCCCTGAACTTTTGTATTCTAACCATTAATAGAAAATAGAAATTTAAGCCATATTTTGATACGCATTAATATTAATTATTAGATATATTATTCATATGATCTTACTTGTAACATTCCATTATACAAAAATTCATTTGTCTACATATTTATTCACATTGGAAACCTCTAAAACGCTTTTTAGACTGTATCCTGGGTACTCTAGTACGCACACAAGTATGTTTTCTAACCTCCAGTATCTCATAGTGATGCAAGAGCTTCAAAATGATTATTTAAACGACTAAATACAAAATCTTCTGAAATTTAAAATTTACAAATGTGATCAAAGATTTTTGAATTATATGTTTAAAAACTACAATTTAAAAATTCTGAAGTTAAAATCTTACCATATCCTTATTAAGAGTCTTTGCTTCCAGAACTGGTTGTTTACTTGGGGTAAAACCAGCATTCTTCATTTAGATGAAGAGTTTAAAGTATATTTTTCATGAAATAACTTAGAATAACACACTGGCATCCCTTAGCAATACAGATTGTGAGAAAGAGAATTTACATTTCTAAATTTTTACATTGTTTTTCTAATTAGAGGTAAGGTCTAGCAATGTTGCCCACACTGATCTCAAACTCTTGGACTCAAGCAATTTTCCTGCTTCAGCCTCCCTGGTAGCTGGAACTACAGGCGTGTACCACCATACCCAGATAAATTTTCACAACTTCTAATATTATTTCCATGTAATCCAAGAACCAAGAAGAGAAACTGAGAAAAAGCTCTCTTCTAAAACCTACATAATATCAAAATAATAAGTGCCAAAAAGCCATGTGGTACAGTTTAGGAATATGGCAGTATCAGAGAAATTCCTTGATTACTTTAAGTAACTGAATCCATTAAATATAAATTTAAGGAAGAGTTTCATTAAGTTACAACAGAATAATTTTAAAAGTCACAGTAAGAATACTTATGTAAATAAACGTTTACCAAAATTTATATATTCTTTATAGTGGAAAATGTTCTTCTAACCTGTCACTAGGTAATCTCCAGCCCATTCCGTTTTTTGGCCTTCACTGTCTCAAAGTATTTACCAAACATTTATTATTTACTAAAGTAAAAAATAAATTTTTAAACCAACTAGTCATATTTTTATAAAATGTTTCTATCTGACCAACTTTCTATTACCAACATAAAATAATGATACTTATAGCACTGCTAAACATGAAAAGTAAGCACTATACAGAACTAGAGTACACCTGAGAAAATCAGTTAGTTCACAAGGGACCATTTTACCTTGTCAGTAAGACTGAAGTCTTCCTCAATTTTTGTAGGCTGTAAATTTTCCATAGATGGTTTGCTGAAAAGATTTTAAAGCAAAAAGATACAACAAAAATGAGCAAATTCATGTATTTAAAAAGAAACTGCTAGCTCCTGTCTTGGTGACCACTCTAAAAAATGAAAACAAAAACAAAATCTGGGGGAAGATCAGTCCTTCTCTATATTATATTATGTTTCTCGGTATAAATATAATATGGCTTCTGTTTTAAAAAAATATTTTAGTTACGTATTTTAGATTCCACCTCCCCAACATTTAACAACCAATGAAGTCTCACTTTTAGTTCCATAACAAACAGTTACAGCCAATATAATGGCATACCCAGAGTATAACTTGTACTCACAAACCATCTGTCCTCAAGGATAAACTGAAAATCTACTTAATGGTTGACATAACTTCTGCTATCTAAACTGGAACAAACTTGATAAGCTAAAATGAGGTAGAAAGATGCAGTTTCCTTGTCCCTTGTCCATTACCTATCTCTGATTCAAAGACTAACCTGTGTCACTGGAAAATGAAATTCTTTGTTTCTCAGCATAAAAACCACTTAGGAAGTCCCTGTTGCTTCCCTTCACCCTAAAACACTACAGGGAATGCCCTGAAATATTTGAAATGTTGAAAGTCTGAACCTACAAATGTCAAAACACAAATGTATATTTGCTATTGGGAGTACTTTTCTCAATAAAAATTGAAACTAAAAATAATAAAATTGGATTTCTTATTCTATACTGGTCCTTCCTTCTTCAGGTCTACATACACTAGAAAAAACTTAAAAATCTTCATACCCAAGGAGAGAGACTTCTAGAAAAACTGAGTCTTGGTGGTTGAATTTCACTAAGTACTATATATATACAGAGAGAAAAACCTGGAATTGGGAGACACTGTATATACTGAAAGTGTCACCCGCTTCCAGATTTTTCTTCAGCAGGGCTTCATGGCAGTCTCCAACCTTTAAATATTCAGCTCATCAAAGCAGATTACCGAAAAGAAAAACTCCGATCACCAACCTAGAAGCTCTGCATTTACCTGTTTCTGGAAATCGCCGAAATGGACACTCAGTCGGGAATTCACTCCCAACATAAGCACGTTACCAAATACCCAACTGAAGCTCCATGACTTATTTGCCAGCCAATCTTACCCCTGCTTTACATGTACATGAGTAGGTCATCAGACACTTGGAAAAAGTGAGGCAAAGGGTAGGGGACACCTGCCCTGGGCCACAGATCTATTTAATTCAGCAAACTTCAGTCTCCTAACTCTCAAGGGGCTCCAAGCCACTCCTGTGAAATCTGGGGTGAAAGAACATAAGAGGACATTTCTGTCTACTCATAGAGACTTTTCTCAGTGGCTCATTTTTTTTTTTTAAATCTTTCAACAGAAAGCTTGAAATGTGTTTCCTCCTCGAATTAAACCAAAAAGCAGGGATGCATTCAGGACTTTCTTTGAAACCTATTTTAATATGCCTTTCTAGATAACTCCCAAAGTTTTTTTCTGTTTTTGTTCCTCTAATTTATCTCCACCAAACTTGTCAGAATGCCCAATATTCTGATCTCTTTGACAAAATCCTTAGTCCTACCAACCCTGAGATTGTTTCTCTTCAAACTTGGCCTTTCCCTGCTAATTCTATTCTTATCTACTTCCACCAGGTTCTTCAGCTAATTCCATTCTTATCCTTCTCCACCAGTTTAATTAGACCCATTCCCTCTTCCCTTCTATTATTCAAACACTCACTTACATGATGACATAGAAACCAGAGTAATGGGCTTTGAAATGAGTTCAAATGTTGCTTCTGCTACCTCCTATCGTTAAACAAGTCACTTTCAGTTTCAGATTCTCCACCTGAGCAACCATTTTTACAGAATATTAAATACAGATTGAAATATGAAAGACCTTTGATTACTTTCCAAGATTAAGTGAAATCGTAAATTTCCATGTGCTTTTCATTTTAGCTATAGAAAAATGGGGCTGGCAGAAAGGAATAAAATAATAGAAGAAAAGAACACCAAGGAAACCAGAGAAGAGAGTAATCAGGAAAAGACTTTAAAAGTCACGGAAGAAAAAGAAAAACTCTAGAAAAAAATTAAGAGTGCACGCAACTAGGCAGCATACTGCCTTTGAGAAAAACTAAGCTGGGAAATCTGTAAATAGAGGAATCTATAAGGAATAACCTCTAAATATACTTAACAACTTCTGTATGTGATAATCTCTGCTAACAGGTAAAATAATTCAACTATAAGATTTACTTGGTCTTGCTTATGAAACGAAAACCTACATCTTGTGGACGCAGCTAAGTGAGACCTGCTCTAAAAGCTTTGATGGTAAAAGCAAGGTACTGGTTATCACTGCAACTGTCAAACACATTAGAACAAACTATTGGATTAACCAGTGTTCTAAGGGAAGGCTCTGAAAAAAGTTGACTTACAACAACATGTGACTTTGTGAATTGATCCCACGGGGACCCGTACCTTGATTCTACTGATGCACAGGTCTCTACCAATCTATGCTGAGGGGCAAGACAATGGATTTGGGCTAAAGGTAAGCTGATGGTGAACTCAAGGGTCAGCTACTTTTTAGCTATGAAATCATAGGCCAATTTATCATCCTCTCTGAACCACAGTTGTCTGATTAATATAAAGTGGGTGATAGTAGCAGAGATACTTTGCAAAGCTGTGTGTTGACTATATGAGACAATAAATGTTAAGCACATAACATGTCTACTGAATAGATAGTGGTTTCTTTTCTCTATATTTTCTTAGTTAACATATAAGTTTAAAAAATCTGTAAAATCTTACCTCAGTAGAGACTCTACAGAATTCACATTCTCTATTAAGAAAAAAAGTAAAACACATTAAATCAATAAATTTAAATAAGAAATGAAGAATATTAAAACAGAAGAGGGCATGATGGCATGTGCCTGTAATCACAACTACTTAGGAAGGCGAAGCAGGAGGATCACTTGAGGAGGCCAGGAGTCTGAGAGCATCCTGGGAGACATAGCAAGACTTCAACTTAATTTAAAAGAATCATGCACATTTCCCTGCATGTTTCAGATTTTGTTTTAAAATTTGCTAGGAGCCGTGGCTCACGCCTGTATTCCCAGCACTTTGGGAGGCTGAGGCAGGTGGATCACAAGGTCAGGAGCTCAAGACCAGCCTGACCAATACGGTGAAGCCCTGTCGGTATTTAAAAATACAAAAAAGAAAAAATAGCCCGGGGTGGTGATGCATGCCTGTATCCCAGCTACTTAGGAGTACAGAGGCAGGAGAGTCCCTTGAACCTGGAAGGCAGAGGTGGCATTGAGCCAAGAATGTACCACTGCACTCCAGCTGGGGTGACAGAATGAGACACTGTCTCAAAAGTAAATGAAAAAACAAATAAATTAACAAAAATTATAATACTTTTGACACTTTGTTATAAAGACTCAGATGATTTGATGATTTCTTATAAAGTATTCCTTTGGGACCACACATTGAGACTATAGTGAAATTATTATTAAGTATACTATTGGTTGACAATGAATGCATTAAAAACTCTTATTTCCCCTCCTTTGTAGTTCTCAAAGGCAAGGAAGAACAGAATTTATTACAATTTGATATCTACAAGTGAAGTACATTGTACAATAGTCCTAATCCAAGCAGAACCATGTAAGACTGACAGAAAATTGTATCATTAGCAGAATAAGTGGATTGTGTCAACCTTAGAAAGTATAATTTCTAGACAAATGAACTAGAAGCAGTTAGAACAGAGTGCATGCTAGTCACTCTTTATCTACTCTGCGTGTAGAAAGAAATACACACGTGGTTTCCCCATGCTCTCACACCACAACAATCATCAAAAGAGAAGACTTCTGCAACCAGTTGTGTGGAGGATTTCCTCCACCACCAAGTGAGCAATCAATTCTGCAGCACAAACCAGCTGGTTGTTGATCTCTATGCAGTTCCAACCCTATCTAGAAATAGTGCCAAATTCCACAGGCTGAAGTCTCAGTCTCACAACCGCCCTCCTGCACTAGTTGCTAATCTGGGTCTCTGAAACTTCTAACCAGCTGTTAGAAGTTATAACAATGACTATGGCAATGACAACAAAAACGAATTCAGGCTGTTTTGTACCACTAGGCAATTAAATATAGTAGTATAAAAAGATTACAAGGCCAAATGCTTTAGAATCATTAAAGCAGATCCACATGAGGTAAAGCGTAATTTTTTTTTAAAATCTCTAAATCTTATGCTTGTAAATGGCATTTTCTCAAACATAAATACTAACATTGGCATTATTTGTATCAAATTTTGCCATCAAATTTTGAAAAAAAAACATTGGGAATAAAAAGGTTCTCAGTATTTCAACTATTTTAATAATATTCTTTCCAGATTAAAATTAAAATTACAAAATTTACCTGCTTTGAATGACTGTATGCCCTTCAATTCTATTGCTTTATTTGGAACAGAAGGTTTCATTCCACAGAAAGGCTAAATGGGTTTGGAAACAAAATAATTAATAATGAATACTTAATAAAATATGCAGTTAATATTCAATATAAAAATAGAAAATTATTACCTTCAGACGAGTATGTTCATCAGGAGAGTCTAAAAAAAAGGGACATATGTAATTGATTACATGCAAGCCTGAAAAAGCCTATCAGACATTCACAGAGTCTGAATATGAAGATGAATCCTCACGCTTGGCTTTAAAAGGGATTACATTAGGTTTTGGGGTATTTGGGTTTTTTGTATTAGTTAACATGCCAACATAACAGAAATATACCTAAGGTAATTTAAAAAATAGATTTCATAAAACATGCTGTGAAGATTTCAAGAATGACAATATGTTTAGAGTGACTAAGTAAAGCAGAACACTCCCAATACCAGTGAGAGTAAATAAGTTGTACTTAATAAGATGACCAAGTCAATACCCAAAGAAAATAAATCTCCAAGCTAATGGTAGAATGCTATCGCATATTGTTAAGGAAGCACATCAGAATCATTTATGTCATTATACTACAGGTAGCTAGCATGTTCTTCAATTTGTCCTGAAATTTAGGAACTGCAAAGTTGTGATGAGAGTTCAAAGCCACAATTTACTTGTCATTGAAGAGAATGTTTTAATTTATCACCATAAATATCTACTTATGGAATAAAAGCTAATAAATATATTCATTTTTTTATCTATGTGAAATACTAGTAATTTCACTTTTATGGGGTTCTCTAGTTTAGCCCTCTTAAAATTTCCTGATCCACTTATACAGTGGTCAAAGCATATACATCAAAAGACTAATACAGGCCAGGTGCAGTGGCTCATGCCTATAATTTCGGCACTTTGGAATGCCAAG